AAGGATTACAGTCTGCCAGTTCCCCAAAAAGTTAAACATAGTAACTATACGACAAAGCAATTCCGCTCCTGGAAAAATGAAAACAAATGCCCACACAAAACCTGTACACAAATGTTCAGAGCAGTATTCATAATACCAAAAAGTGAAAACCCACATGTCTATCAACTAATGAATGGATAAGTAAACGTAGTATATCCATACAATAGCATATTATAGAGACAAAAAGGAAATGAAATACTGCTGTACCTTACAACATGATGAACCTTGAAAAATTACGCTTCGTGAAAGAAGCCAGTAGCAAAAGACCACATATTGTATGATTCCATTCACACAAAATGTCCAGAAAAAGCACATCAATAGAGACAGAAAGTAGACTGACAGTTGCCTCGGGCTGGGTGGTGGGAACGTTGAGAGGAAATGAGGAAGTGGTGACTGCTAAAAGGTACCTGTGTATCTTTTAGGGGTGATAAATGTTGTAAAATTGATTGTGATGGTTACACAACCCTGTGAATATATAAAAAGCCACTGAATTTTACACTTTACATCTCAGTAAAAGCTGTTACATTTTAAAAAAAAAATTAAAGCAGAGCCAGTGTTCAATGAGTGCAGACCCACTGAAACACAGCAATAAAGTGAAAACAGCTAGTGTAACTAACTCAACTACATCCTCTTTTTTAGTATCTCCTTTTACCTGCTCAATTACTAAATCAAAAATCCAAATCCAAATGAATCATTTTACCGTAGTGTCTACTATACTTTCATAATAAGAATCTCTGTCCAATTTCCATGCTCATAAAGGTAATACAAACTTGGGTAGTATCAGATCATTCTAGAATTTGAATTTAGCTTATTTGTAACACAGAAAACATGTTAACTCCTGGATGACAAAATTTTTAATTCTAACTTGGAGATTTTTTTCTAGCAAGATGCCAGTTTTCCATTAGCATCAAGGAAATCATAAATGAATACACTAGCACATTTACAGATTTAAGGTGTGCTTTTGACAATTTATGAGGAATTCTGCAGGTCACAACATAGTCATTTACAAGGGGCAGGAATTCTACCTGTTAGCACTCTGTAAAGGTATAGCATGAGTTTTACTCCCTCTATCCTGCTAAGCCACGTGCAAGGCACTGAGTTAGTAAGCAATTCCAGCCAACAGCCCTGCACCTCCAACTCAGCTGGCAGTAAGAAAACATTTATGAATCTTCAGAGACCTCACAATAGAGCCCTTGCAAATGTTATGGGTCAATTACGTTATCCATCATAAGAGACGAGACCAAGCAAAATATATTCTACTATTTATAGGGTTATACTCTTAAGTGTATAAGCAAATTTCAACGAATTTATGTACAATTCTTTATGCCTATGGCCCGACAGAACTTTGATTTCATAAACAGAAACTTTTTTCTTAGCTGTATTATAGTTTTGTTTTTAAACATTAACTCTTGCGTTGTAATTGTTTTTTTAAAGAACTCGTAATTTAACCCAGCTTAAAAAAAAAAACCAAAAACTGGATTGTTGCATTTTTACCTCAAGGACAAAATTAAAGTAAAAAGAAAACTGAACGATGTACAGGCATGTGTTTCCTATAAGAAAAAATAATTCAACCTATTATCAAAGCATTTTGTGGCTACTCTTTAAAAATAATATTCAGGCTTGTTCAAAATCTGAAAAAAAATTAAGCCATACTACAGTAACTTCCCCTAAAAATGCCTTAGATAAACTTACCTATCTACAGTGAGTGATGTAATTCACTGAGACTTGATATTCCCAACAAGCTCAAATGACAGGCTTTAGAATACCTTACCACAAGCTAGTCCCTTCAGTATGATTCCAAGAATTGCTTAACTGGACATCAGGTAAGAGACGCACCAAAATTCATGAGTCCCATCTCTAACCTGACATACACACAGAACTGGGATGTAGTGGTCTGTTAAGGTTCCAGAAAATACTAATAAACCACAGTTTAAGTGGAACACGACACCCACGCAATCCCACCCAGACAACAGATAAAATCCTTCTCCACTCCAAATACCTGAACAGGTAAACCCAAAGAAGTTCCCTTACACGTAATCTTTATCTGTGACAGCAAGCTAACAATTATCCAAACAACCAAAAGGCAGAGTTTTGAGAGTCATGTGCACTGGGAAAGGTAATACACAAAGGGAGTACTAGGGGAATAGTATTTTTACTCCTCCTATTAGGCTGATAGATTTAATTTACTATACTTTTATAGTAAATTTTATACTTATAGCCATTAGGACACACATGAAAGTAGCACTGAACTTTTAAAAATCAACCACAAAAGCACTATTAAACTTTATGCCAAAAATAAGCCAAACTAAAATTATGCTCTAACTTCTCTTTCTGAAGATAGTAACCACATTCTCACTGAAATACAGATAAGCAGATTTACTATAAACCACAATCAAATATTTGACACCAAACAATCCAAAAACCACGTAATCCACTTAACCACACTGAACACGTATATTAAGCAGCACAAGCACATAGGGAATGTAGAGCTAATCACCACTTCCCAATCAGCCACAGCACAGAGGATCCTCTGCATGCCAAAAGCGAGCACTACATACAGGAAGGTGGTGGATAGGATCTTTATCTCTGCCCGATCCAGTACAATCAGCTATTCTGGGATCAATAAAAGGATCCAAAGCCATCCATAGACCTCAACCTCACTTCTAAAGCAAACTTATTGGCTATCCAATCTCCATGCTGTTAAATGGATTTTCTTGCAAATTCCCATAAGCAAACAAATTAACCAACATAGGTATAGGCATACCTTATTTTATTATGCTTCACTTTACTAGGCTCCACAGAGGTTTTTTTTTACAAACTGAAAGCAAGACCCTCCACCAGCAAAAAGATCACCACTCGCTTTACTGCCATACTTGCTTTATTATGGGTGTTTGGAACCGAACCCACAGTATCTTCAAGGTATGCCTGTATCTTTCTACAATGCTATATGTCAATTAGATCTCAATAAAACTGGGAAGGGGAAAAATACAATAAAGTAGCTATCTTTCCTGAAACTGAAGCGCTTATTATGTGTGACATCACATTTTAAAATGCTTTATTTATAAAGCTTACATAACCAGTAATGATATCATTCACTAAGGCTCCAGGTAAAATTAAATCTCCACATTTCAGATGACACTATAAACTTTTCTTTTTCACTTTAAATAGAACTATGGTTTAATTATTTTAATTTATTTAAATAACTATTATGTAACTTCTTTCCTGACTCTTAAGTTTCCATGCATGTTTACAATATACTGGTTTAATCCAAGTTAAATTATTATCTGTAATAAGTCAAAACTAAAGTAGGCTAACATATTAAAAATAATATATCTTCCAATGTGATCACATACACATCTTTACATATATGAAACCAAACTGTACATCCTCTGTTTGGTAATCTATTATTTTCATCCAACAGTATATTACCAACATTTTTTCAAATTTCAAAAAAAAGAAAAGAATACATCTGACAGTAAAGCTGCAGTCTAACCATCACATGATATTTCATATGGATTTCATTTCTCAAAAATAAGCCTTAAACAAGCTAATGAAAACAAAGTAATTAAGTTTATTTTGCCAATAACCTGTTGTCAAAATTTAAGCAGCTATATAAATTAAGTTCACCAATCCATTCTCGTAAAACAGTTACAAAAGTATTATATGTGGTAAAACATACTTTATTAAAAAAACGAAGATTTTAACAATTAAAGCAAATGCTATCCTAAGAAACAAGGGATTTTAGGTTTAATTCAAACTGGAGTTTTTCGGTGTATCAATCCACTTACATGAATTGGCCTCCAAAGCCTAAACAATGATAGGCCATCTGAAACAGCTTTGATGTAACATAATCTTAATTGTGACAGAAAGTCTTACGGTTAAACAATTTTACCTAACCAAACATGTTATGTTTGAAACATTCTTTGAACATTATTGCAAGTTTAAATACTGCATGACTCTCGTGTAAAGAACCATATTAGATTCACCAACATAATAAACCTTATTAGAATTTTCCTACACAAAACAGTTGTCAACTACACAACTACAATACAGCCATCTGAAAAATCTTTCCCTTTCATTAATATCTATACTTGTTATCTTTATTTTCACATAAAAATAAGATCAGCAAAATGAGAAATCATACCAAACAATAAATTCTACCTGCATTCAATATTGGAAACATTTTCCTGTAATCTGCCCTCTCACTTTCAATCCATAAAACTACCAATTTAAACTATAAAAACTCCATATTGGCCTGGTTCCAACAGTGACCTCAGATCAACACGGAAAGAAATGTCTTAAAATAACCACACAGCTATCTTCCAAATACTGCACCAGACCCAACACACAATATAAAGCTGACGGTTGTTTTTCTCCTCTTCCTCTGTGTACCTGTATTTCATTAATCATTTCCAGGCAAGCACTTTTACTTCCTACAAGTTATCTCTGACCAGAAAATTGATGACATGTGGTCATAAAGAAGAGAATATTTTAAATTTAACATCATCACCTCAAATCACCTATTCCGACTTAATCACACCTGATGACTATAAGAACTAATGTAAACCAGGAAGAACAGCTTAATATTCCAGCACTCTTAAAAATCAATTTTCAACAAGATAACAACTGAATAATTATCAAATAGCAAATATTTCAGCCACACTATTACTCTATCATTAAAGAAATCATTTAAGGCCCTAACACCTCTTCTACTAAAATTGTATTTGTTACCTTATAATTGCATTACTCTGTTTTTGGCAACTCCACTCTATCACTACACACTTGCTGAGTATTCCATTTATGCACAGAAACCACCACCACCACTGTCTTTCAGTCATTTCAATCCAAACCACAACGTTTTTACTAACAATCAGACTTTGACAACAGTTGCATATCAAACCAACAGTTAAATTATAATTTCTGCAAGAGATAAAAATAAATAAAAATCCACAAGTACTTACCTACAGTTGGGAGGAGGGTCCAACGTAATTTCTGCAAGTTCCTTCTGAATTCTTTAAAATAAAGACAAAGAAAGTTATGTGAAAATGTCTTCACTCTCTTTTTATGTCATTAAAATGTTATACTTTTACACTAATATTTCCCATTTGTATGTTTTTTAATTTAAAATACTAATACTGTATAAATCATCATTTACAATAACACAGCAGTGATTACTGCCACGATTTTGACAATGCACCTACAAGAGGGTAATAAGACTGGCTACCTCAGTGCACGCAGCCTGTGGAAGCAGCACGGTCACTAAAACTAAAACTAAAACTTCACTAAGCTGGGCCGACCGAGTGGCTCAGTTGGTTAAGAGTGCAAGTTCTGAGCAACAGGGTCACCATTTCGATTCCCACATGGGCCAGTGACGCTGCACCCCAGCTGAGGTGCCGCTGAGCTGCCAACAGGTGTCAGGATGGCTCAGCTGGTGAGAGCACGTGCTCCTAAACAACCAGGTTGTCGGTTTGACACCCGCATGGGATGGTGGGCTATACCCACCTGCAACTAAGATTGAATATGACACCTTGAGCTGAGCGGCCGCGAGCTGCCGAAGGGCAGCTGGAATGGCTCAGTGGTTAGAGTGTGCGCTCTTAGCAACAAGGTTTCCAGTTCTACTCCCGCATGGGATGGTGGGCTATGCCCACCGGCAACTAAGGTTGAATGAACACAGCACCTTGAGCTGAGTGGCAGGATGGCGACTGGACTTGGAGATGAGCTAGCTGCGCCCTCCACAAGTAAGACTGAAGGACAACTTGGCTGTTCCCTTTCCTCAATAAAATCTTAAAAAAACAACAACCAAAAAACCACCAAATAACAACTTCATTAAGCCACTAATAATAATAACCAAAATTTCTGGTTTAAATTGGAAACTCTTGCCACTTATTTCTGGATTATTCCAACTTCTGATTTGTACTAGAACATCCCCATGTAGGATGAAAAGGTGATCATATGAAGCTGAATCCAGGCATCCTGACAGATCCAATTAATTAAAGAGACAATTATCAGGATTTCATTCCAATACTTGAAATTGCTGTCAAAATATGTATGGTATTCCTCCCTGAAGACTCTAGGTTGGAGCAGACTGAGGCTTTCAAGTTTGACACTGTTCTTTCTGCTAGAACTATCCCAACAACATGTGAATAATCATTTTAATGTCATTGCAATGAACTTCATGCAAAGCAAAGAGAACTTTTTTAAAAAACCTGCTTTTGTCCTCGTGTTATTTTCAACTTTGACTTTTAGCTGCACTTAATGCCCTACATACATACACGAAGGCTAACAGTGCTACACTGTTTTGTAAGACAATACTTAGCAAGCTCTTAACTATCATTCATGCATTATTAAACACAGGCTTTGTTAAACCAAATACAAACAAAAAAATTCTCGAAAGCATTTCTTCTCCTTTGCCTTGGTTTTCAAATATGAGATTCACTGATGGCTGGATGCCGCTGTCTGATGATTATTGTGATAGTACATGGATGACAGCTGACTAAAGTACCTTAAAAAGCAAAAATCTGAACAAAAACATTTACTCTCAAATTCATTCTGTCTTTTTCAAGACAACAAATGGAACTACCAGAATAGATGTAACTCCTCCTAAAGGAATTGCACACTACTAATATAACGTTCACTTCTCTAAGCCATGTGATTCAAGGTTAGGGAGGCATTTATAAAGTAAAGCTAGATTAATAAACTCAAAGCCAAGGACACTTTCATTTTAATTCTGCTGTGCCATTAATTAAGAGTTCTTGGGTAAAAAGACTGCTCACACCTGCTTTCTCTCTCAGCCTGAGTTTTCTGTCCTACAAAATGAAGGGGTTAACTAAAACAAATTCCATGATCTCCTCCATTTTTAAAACATGATTTCCTTTTAATATGCATTCTATGATGTGTTTGCGTGCATATGAAGTAGATATGGCCCACAATTAAATGAGAGAGGATTCTTAAAGATCTGATATAGAACACCCTTATGGGTTTCACACACAAATATTAAACAGGCACTTTAAAACTCAGTGGGCAAGTCCAGGTTAGACAGCGAACTGCGCACACCCATGATGTGCAACTCCCACTCCTTCAGCACACTCCCTGGTGGGAGGAGAGACAAAAAGAGCAAAAAGGAATAACCAACAAAGACAAGGGGTGATCACCAATGGATGAGAAATTTCAGTAGATTTCTGGAAGACAGAGTGGATGGGTGTAAATTAAACAGACTGAGATGGCCAACTGCATAAAGATATAATAAAGACACATTATTCAAGGGTGTGAGGGTGGGGTGGTTGAGGGGCGG